TCTATCTATCTATCTATCTATCTATCTATCTATCTATCTATCTATCTCAGTGTGCATATGCATCATCATGGATCAGATGAGCTGGCTTTTAGTCCGCCGTGTGCTGTCTGTTTTTCCAGCGCCGTCAGCTCCATTCCATTTGTATCGATTTAGGCTTGACGTCTCCTATTCCTCCCTCGATTCTGATGATGCCCCTCGCTGTCCTTCCTTCTCCTTTTGTTTCTCAAAACTCAATTAACTGCCAGCCTTGCCTTTGGTTTTCTTTTCAAGTCTATTTTCCTCCGTGTGTGTGCCTGTGTTTCATAGGTGTGATCGACTTCCTGGTGAGCCAGCACCCTGTTGCTCAGATCCTGAGAGATCATGTGATCTTCAAGATAGTCCCCATGCTAAATCCCGACGGAGTCTACCTGGGCAATTACAGGTACACGAATGTGCATGTTTTAATTCTTGATTTTAAACCGTCCCTACACTGAGTAGAACTCACGCATTACATGGTTTTGTATCACACTCTGTGGGGTTATATCCTCTTAACTCCACCTTTAGAGAGCTTAATGAATTCATATAGCTCACAGCAGTGCATTTGTTAGAAGATAGTATTTGGCTGTAGGGCTGTTCTCTTTGCCAGTCTCTCTGTCCATCCTCTCCTCCACTCTGTCTTTAACACTGCTGCTGCAGCTCTGTGGGCATCCTCCTCTCCTCTGTTTTCCTCTCCTCTCATTCCCTTCTTCATAATTGCCTTTTACTTAATAGGCTCAGCCCTCAGAATACTAATGCTCACCAAGATATGCAACACTCTCCCACTGCGTTTGTGAACGCCATCTAGTGGCGGCGCCTTGCCCCTGTCCCCAAAATACATGTGCAGGGATTCTTTAGTTGCTTCCCACAGTGACAATCTCAGTAGTACCATTCAGTGCGACTGGTGATGGTTCAGGCTATTGTTATTGGCTTGTTTTTGCACTGAGTGGTGATAACCAGCATATTGACAGTGGGTGAATAGTTATAGTCCTCATCCGTGGACACAGACACACAGAACGCATACACAGAAACCACACAGCTACCTCAGCAGGACACAGTGGAGAGCAGACTGAAATGGATGCATGCAGAGCAAATAATCAATTGCAGTTAACCTGGGATGAGTATTTTGTTCATGGCTGGCTGCGTTGCTCAGTTGCCCTGCAGTATCAGTAACTCCTGTGTCATTATCACTGGCTTTAGCAAATGTCAAAGATCGACATGTCACAAAGCACAGCAGATTAGGGCGCATATTTAGATGTAAGCGTCCCATTATGGCAATTTGACACTCCTGGTAACATTATAAGGTTGGGCGCCACAGCAGCCTAATGTTTGGGGCACGTGCCGCATCATCCGTGGTTCAGCTCCCGGTCAGCCGGACTTTGATTACAAGTTCATGCACTTCCCTCATTCCCAGTCTGCTTCTAATGCGTCTACTGTTCCTTAACAATAATGCATCATGTGTATTTGTTGCAAGGATTTTTTCCTCTCTTCGAACACTTGCCGAGCTGAATCTAGTAAGAATTTGTGGCCTACATTTTTCTGTCCTGAATCAATCTCAGTTTACTGTCATATTTAGCAGCTGCCCTTTTATTAGAGGATTTGAATTTCGAGTGTGCAATAAATGCTAGTATACTCGTAGTAGTAAGATAGCCATCATGACGCCACCCACTGGTTACAGAGCCCTCAAGCTGAGCGTTGGTGTTTTGCAACCGAGGACACCACAAGCTGATTGGCTAATGAATTGTGACTGATAAATAGTTAGTTAGAGAATGCACGTTACGGTCCTCCTTTATAACTTTAATAGTTTTATTCAGTAAAATGTGAAAAACCCATTAAAGTCATCAGAAATGTGTTTACTGAGGTCACAGAGGCAAGGAGTCGAGTGCTGTTTTGCGTACAGTCAAAACCTATTTGCAAACAGTGAAGTCGCCCCCTGCTGTCCATTAAAAAGAATGCACGTTTACACATTTTACAATTTACACTGATGCTGCTTCCATCTTTTATTCCATGTTTGTATATTTGGAGCTTTTTACAAAGAAACAAAAGTGCTGAAAAAAAGAAAAAAGATGACAATTTACAAACCTGTTATCCTGAATGTTTTTAAAAAATTACTCATTTAAGTAAGGAAGTGATTTCAGGCACAGGGATGCTTTTTTTATATCATTTTTATAACGTGGCAGAGTCAGCATGTGATACTAAAATCATCTTTTAATTAGTGAAGAACTGTATAAAAAAGACAAGAGGTCACTTTTAAACTTAAGCTTTGAGCATGTGCAACTTTGCACCGTTTGTGGCCACAAGGTGCCTTTAGTCATTTGTAAGGCGAAACGGATTTGATTTTCCATTATCTGTGTGTGTGTGTGTGTGCGCACATGCTTGTGTGTACAGGTGTTCTCTGATGGGCTTCGACCTGAATCGACACTGGCAGGATCCCTCTCCGTGGGCCCACCCCACACTGCACGCTGTGAAACAACTCATAGTGCAGATGAACCAAGACCCGGTGAGTGTGTTCTCACACTCACACACACACATGAACAGACACAGTCCTCTGTTATGTGCTCAACATTCCTTCTCCACAGTAGCGTCTACTGATCCCAAGAACAGTTTTCTTTCTCCCTGCTTGGTTCAGCATGTTTCTCCAGTCTGTGTTTAGGGTGTGTGCGCTGGGGAGCATGAGGAGGCCAGTCAGCACCTCTAGAATGCCAGCTAGGCTCTCCTGGCCATTCAAAACATATTACTGAAGCAAGACTGTGTGCTTTCAGTCTTTAAATCTACTGTAACTTTTTCCTTCTCTACTTTGAGACTTTCAGTTGGAGGAACGCTACACAAGGAGGCTAGGGATTTTTCATCTTTGTTCCTGATGTTAATTATAAGCAGAGCGGCAGGTTGGTGGGATTACTGAAGGTCAGCGTGTGTCCTGGGAATACTCTGCCCTTTTGTACACTCCTCTAATCCTGATAAGAGAGGGAGCAGGCTGGGGCGGGATGCAGGGCAGGCCAGAGATGGGGTGAGGCGCGGGGCTGGCATCGGGCAGATTAACCTTTTCCCTCGACGCTGACACGCTGATCGATAGACTCTGTCATGGCAGGGTGATCCACTCATGCCTGTCATTCACACACACTCACACACTTACACATACTCGCCTGAGCAAACAGACACAGAATGTACACAAACAAACAGCCACAAAACTGCAGCACTGCTTAGAAACATGGATGAGTGAATGTAATGTGTTTTCATCCTGAAACGCGCGTTCTTATTCTCTGTCAGATGCATTTTTGTCTTTTTCAGCACATTTGCACACATTCATTCTCAAGCAGATACGATTAATGGAAGATTGTTTTACAATAAAATATGCTAATTGTAACAGTACTGCTGGGTAAATGAAGAGCCCAGTCGCTATCACAGAATTAGACCACATGTTTCCCGAGTCCACTCCTGCAGGTCAGAAGACTTGAATTCCTTCTCCTTTTCTTTTGATAACCATCCACCAGCACTTGTCGTGCTGTAGCCCCCTTCTCCCCGATGATTGCCTTCAGTCTTGCACAGTTAATTTGGAAGCTTGGGCTACCTCTCCTCTTCTGTCTCTCTTTCGCCACAGCCAGTTAATCCCATCAGACACACTACTCATGTCTGGGGCTCCCAGATGCCAGTTTCGATGCCAACTCTGCAGCCAGGAGGCCCTGTGCTGCTGCCCTCCATTCATGCTCGTCTCACTCAGCGGGCATAGAGTCTAATGAGGCTACCATGGTTGGAGGGCTCTGCTGGAGGACTCCATTAACAGGAGAGCAGCAGTGGCCACAGCAGAACAGTTGGGCTAAGCTAGCATACTGTATGTGGTCCATTTACTCGCTGGTAACTCTGTGTGGATATTTGTTTAAAATACAAAAGCTAGAATAAGCTTGAAGACCTGGGAATCTGGATTATTCATAACACTACCAAACAATTAAGCATTGATAACACTTAAACCATATTAAGGAAGCAGTTGAGAGACTGTTGAATCAATCAGTGACTGTTTGAGCCGCCGCTAAAGGAGCAATCGCTAAAATATAACTGATTGCCCCTCTTAATATTACACAATCTTTGCTTGCTTTAAAGTATAAATTAAACATAAATATCCTGACCCACGCTCGCCCGTTCTGTAGAATATTCATCATCGTACAGCTTTAAAATATCCGACTGGCTGCACAGTATATTAGGCACAGCAGTACAGTTCCCCCAAATTCAGCACGTCAGTCAAACAGGTGGGTGGCAGCTGTCAGGGACTGCAGAGTCACAGCAAGTAAACTAAAAACAGCTTGAACAGCAGCCCCGGTTTGCCATTTTAATGTCGCTGCTTCATGTTAGCTGTCTAAAAAGGTGTTAAGAGTGCGGGTTTTCATAATGATGCCTTCACAGGGCAATTGCAGTAATGTTAACAGTGTCTGCTGGCTACAGATGACCTTTTAAATGGTAACGAGTTTTCCAACTCATAATAACAAACTCCAACATCAAAATTCAAAGAACTTAGGTTTGCTGGAATTGCAGCTTCAACTTTCGACATGACATGAGAACATATAGTGAGCCCTATGAAAAAGAAGTATTCCATTACCATAGGACTTGAGGTAAGGAGCAACCAAGTGCTGCTAATGCTCTTGATTAAGTGATCAGCAGAGAGTGTAAGCACCGCGATAAAACCAGGAGTTTTAGCAGTTTGCAGGTCTGGAGTATTCAAGTGTGTGTTAACATAAACCCAGGACTAGACACCACAGCAAAGCTATATCAGACTCTACAGGCTTCAGTTAGCATGTTAAATGTTAAGTTTTAATGTTTAGAAAGATTGCCAGGAAAAAGCTCTTAAAAAACAACAAAAAACATGCGCAGCTTAGCTTTAGAAAGTTGCATCTGAACAAATCGCAAGAACTCTGGAACAATATCCTTCGTATGGACCTGACCAAACTGTAGATATTTGGAGATAATGCACAGCGATTAAGAGCAAAAAGCAAACACAGCATGTCAGCGCGAACACCTAATACCAGCTGTCAAGCATGGTGGTGGAGGAATGGTGGATCCAGGCATCT